AAATAGGTGAAGTGGTCAACATGTTCTATCACTTCACTCTCTATCACTAAGCTAGGAGTTGACGTATTCCAGTCCTGGAGCGGCGAATAGGACGAAATGCGCTTCCTGCCTGGATTCCACTGCTTGCCACCATCCACCAATTAACTTATAATGAAATAAACAACTAACTGTTCAGTACTCCGTGCTTGTTTTCAACAGGTTCTCTAACTGATATTAATCCGTGTTCAAACTTGTAATTAATCCAATCACCACCTAGAAACTAATTCTTAAAGAATAATGACTTTATTTCAAAAGAGTAGTAGGTGAGAACAGTATCAAGTGACCAGTGTTAATCAATTAATTCTCTCTAACCTCCCTGTCTCTCTCTCTCTCTCTCACTTTGTCGTAGTGTATATAGGTGTGTATAGAAAGGTGTTGACTTTATTAATTTTTAATACCGATTAAAACTCAATTTTTTAAAGAGAAAAATCATTAAAAATTGCATAGTAAACAAGAAGAAAAAAGATTAATGTTTTTCTGAGTTTTTTAATTGCGTAGTTAGTAGTTTTTGTGTCATACTTCACTGTTGTGTAATAAATCTATAAAGTTGAGTGTAGTATGAACAAGTGTAACTGCAAGTTGGTTCCTGTATATCGGACAACATGTGCTTCTTTGGTGCAATCAAAAGTCGACAAATACCCCCCCCCCACACTTCTGATGTTAACAACTTCAACTGGGCATATAAGCTTACTTGTATCTGAGGGAGAAGTTACATTGGGACAAAAGAAAGAAGGGCACACCCCTTCGATTTTGTGAACATGTGTACCAAAAAGTCTACATCTCAAGGGGACAAATGCTTTCAACAGTGTTACCGCTTTTGGCTCGTGTGGAGCAAAGTATATCGGCTGTACGCAATGTCAGGTCAACAAACGTATTCTGGAACACTATCCAGCTTGGTTAGCCAGCCATCCCCCTCCATGAATGCTTCACAATGCTACACAGAGTCCCTCAATATCGTACAAAGGGACTTCGGATACGCCATCTGTACATAGCTGAATCATTGGCTATTCGAGATCTGAAACCGGACCTCTGCATTCATTCGCTCGCTCTACCGTGGTCAGAGTAAAGTTCTTACTATAATCTTGCTTCTTCTTTTTATTATGTAAGTTCGCTATTATTATTGTTATTACTACTATTATTTTATTATCATTATTATTCCTATCATCCATATTTTATTATCCACACCTCCATTATTGTTTATTAATAACATTGCGTCTTCATACAGATTTTATATAAAAACACTTTATCGCCTTTCCACTAGTTTCTGTCCATTCTACATGAGCTTATTGATTAGTCATTATCTCACACTTATGACGTCATGCCAACTTCTGCCTCTTTTCTAACTTCCAATCAGTCACCCCTTTTAGGTTACATCTTACATTACGTAATACATTTTTCGAGGACAAATTTTACCAGTATCTGACGACTGATCTTATGAATTGCGATTTCACAGATTATGGAAATGAATCGTCGAGGAGCAAATTTTCTTCACTGTTTACGTCTTTTTCTTATAACAGTGTTATTGCCAGGCATCTCCCGGATACGCATCATGAGGTGGACATCACAAATTCCTTCAAAATTATCAATAGACAGAACAGCTCAATTCTCCTCCAGTTTGTCAAAGCAGTCACCATCAAACGCCTGAAACCTGATTTATGCGTTCAGGAAGAAACAGTTATCAGTCTTTGTTTTCCCACCTGGGAATTGAATATCTTTATTCTGCGCCCCTTTCATTTGATTGTGTAGTCTTTGGCTTTAACCTCTTCCCCCCTCGCTCTGATATAGTGTAATTTTGTTTGTCTTTTGTTTCTATGATTTGAGTTGAACTCAGTACATTGTTACCTAACTTACTAGTCACTCATCATCCTAAGCACCTCTCATCTTTATTACGTAACTCCTTTACCATTGTATGCATAAGTTTACTTTGATTGGACACTGGTAACTAGTGTGACGTGTCTAGTCCTTTCTTTGGTGCAGACTGAATTCTCTCAGTCACGTTTGCAATGTGATCACCATTCTAGGTAGCGCGCCATCCAGGTGCACATTGATTTGATGATATTAGATGGCTGGGGGCATTCGGCCCCAGGAGGCCTTGCACCACCTAGGTTTCGTGCTAGTTGGCAGTCAATATTGAGCAAGGAGTATTTGCAACCTCAAAAGAACTCATGTCCCTTCTGAGATTCGAACCCGCGTCACCCAGTGTCTGCAGTCAGAGACGTTACCACTACAGTCCTACAGGAGGTCAATCGCGAGCCAGCCCGAATAGCTCAGTGACAGTAACGTCTCTGTCTACAGCACTCACTGGGTGACGCGCGGATTCAAATCTCAGAAGGGAGGGAAATGAGTTCCTTCAAGGTTGCAGATACGCCTTGCTGACGAGTGCCAACTAGCACGAAACCTAAGTCAGGCAAGGCTTCCTGTGGCCGATTGCCTCCAACCATCTAATATCATAAGTTTACTTTGTTTAAACTTGAACTCCCTGTGTAGAAACTATATAAGCGTAACTTTCTGAGCACTGTTCATTAAGTTCGGAACTTCCTGTCAACTGGCATCATGTAAAATTTGCAAGTATGTTAAAACTTTTCTGTACATAAACTTAATAATAATTATTTATTTAGGCTGTAAGCAGCTGGGTTGATGAGATACCAGCGAAATAAAATGATGGTACCATATTCTCGTTCTGCACAAACTGTTGTTCTTTCTTTTTTTCAAATAGAAGTTGACTGTCCAAAATATGTTATTTAGAGAGTCAATAATCTATTCTGGGCACCTATAGACGATAATCACGTGACCACTTTGATGTCCCTAACAGTGTCGAAGATTCTCAGTGCAGAGAAGGAATCAGTCTCCTTCAAGATCGTGAAACAAACAAAAGGAAATAGAGACGGATCGGAGGTACGGGTTGAGGAGACAGACCTTCCAGTGATAGGACACACACACACACAAACACACACAAGATGCTCATGTGGAATCTCAATGAGAAGCGAGCGACGACATGTTCATTCAGGTGTGAAAGCTTGTGAGCAGTTGTGAAGACAATCAGCCGAAATATAATGATATTTTATCTTCGGCCAGGATCTTAACGATTAATTAACGATAGTAGATCGTGAGACACAGTTCTACTTGACCTGAACAGCAAACCAATCCCCCTTATGATATCTCTTCTTTTTCTCCTTGGAGAAATACACAACGATATTTTGTTGAATATCAATTATAAGAGGTTCAGGAGTACATTTCGTGAACGACGGACACACCACTCAGGAACGGTCATCTCATGTATCAGGATAAGCTGCCATCTATCGAGAATAATGCTTTTTCACATGTTTAGTAGAAATATGAGAAACCACATGTTGTAAGTGTTTTAAATACACGTCAGAGTAAACAATACTATTAGAGGTCATATTTTACTGCATTTAAACAAACTGACTTAGAGAAACTACATGCAATAAGCAATCTATTGATGAAGGTTGTGGGTAGCCACTTATATAATACACCAGAGACTCGATAGCCTCCAAAGCCTCAGGGTGGTCGGGGGTGGGTGACTTGCGCTGTGGGTTGGTCACCCCTCCGCACACCTCTTGAAATGCTCCCATATGACCGGGCGTCTTACATAGCCTCTTCTGAGGAAGCCCTACTCACTGCCTTCACGTGGCGGAGGTGCTTTTCACCAAAGTGAGAGGGCGAAAGCGGATACCCGGCGCTCTTCACCGGGTTGACTGTCCATTGGATGACAGTCTAGGGGAGATGGCTAAACCCTGATTCCAAACCTCTAACGACTGGCGTATGAAGCTCACTGGAGCTCACCGGCAGACGTATGGATAAAGAGCTTGTTGGATGTCCTGGATGTCTGGCCCCATTCAAAAAGGCGTATGAACCGAACTCCGGTCACCGGGCTGCCAATGGATAGTGGACTCCCTACTTCATTCCTACTGCCTTGTAGGTCACACTTGGTTGTGTAAAGGCTAGAGCTGCACTCTCAAACAAAAGGCCGAGCGATTCTGAGGACATCACTCGTACCAAATTCCCATGAAACTTCATGAACTCTCTTACAAACGGAGTGCCTGGGGCTACAAACCGTCTACGGACTCTGTCTGTGGAACAAGAATTGGATAACCCTGTCGCACAACCTTGCATCAGATCGCCACGCCTGGGCAGCGATGATTCGAGATGTTCATGAAGCCGGCTCATCCTCCCGTAGGAGATAACCGAAGTAAAGTAAAGTAAGTAAGTAAGAGACTCGATAAAACACTGGAGGTGTACAACCCTGATGTGTTATATTCTACTCAGAAAAAAGGTTAGCATTCGCTAAAATAAAGTTTTTGTTTCAAAACCTAATTGCCTAATTATTCTATAAATATTTATAAACTGTCAAATATTGATCACTGTGCGTCGGTGGCGTAGCGGTTAGGACGCTCGCCGACCATGCACATGGTCCAGGGTTCGATCCCCGGCCGGCGCACTCCTTTACCTCGCTAAGCCAGAACTAAAAGCTGGTGAAGAGGAAAGGTTGGGCATGAGGCTAGCAACCCCATCCTGTAAAAATAAACACTGCTACAGAAACTTCAAGCCTCTAGCTTGAAGCCCTATGTTCCACTGGGAACGTGAAGGAATAAAAAAATATATTGATCACAGTTCATTTGAATTATTCTATAAATAGTCAGTGTTTGTAACTCTTAATTAGTTAAATCATTCCGGACTAATGTTACTTTTACTTCCTACCAATTACTCCTTGTGATCGTGGAAAAGTATGTTCAAATCTTTAATGTAATGTAATTCATATTTTTATCGTTCAGGTTGTAACCAGTTGAGAAGAATCCTCGAAATAACAAGAAAAGATGAGCTCATATTATCCTGGTACAATTGTTGTTCTTGCTTTGTTCAAGTTTATTAATGGGAAGAATTGCATGAAGTTTTTAAAATAAGGTTTAACAAAATGAATGAAGGAACTAACAGACACTCACCTTTAATCCAACACCAACACCTTTACACGCGATAACTGACAGTGAACCGATACTTCCACTGATCAGAGTGAATACAATTGGATTTGTTTTACCATAACGTGGACCAAGAATAAAAATCAATATAGCAGATAAGATAATAACAAATACACCGTAGACAATAAAAGCTGGAGAAAAGGTGAAAGAAGAGAAAACAAATGAAACGGTATACAGCATCAAATTTTGAAGAGCTTAATATTATTGAACAGTTGCTGAGTGAGAACGGTTACCTGGAAAAATTCATCAATAAGATATGAATCAAAAGTGAAGGCAGGCCAGAGTACCAACAGTTCAGATAAAAAGGAAGGCCTTGTTCTTACAACTTCAGTTCCTCAGTTATGGTAACATCAGTGGGATACCGCCTAAGGAATACAGTGGTAAAAAGAGCATTCACTGTTGCTGAATTATGCTGTGTCTTCAAAACCACCCACCCACACCTATTTTGCGTTCGCGACTTAAAGATTAACTATCTAATTTCGCCTCTTCTTTGTACATCTATCAATTTGACTGCTCCTGTGGAGTAAGCCAGTTACAGAGGTCATACAGTTAGGCGTGTTTATTATCGGATTTACAAACACCATCCTGCATAGTGGTTAAGTAAAGGACGCTATTCTATCTCATCTTGTGGATACAGAAAACAAGATTGATGTCAACGAGGCTTTCAAATGGAGGTGGATTGGCCATACTCTGAGGAAACAAACCTTCAACTGACATCACACGCCAGGTCATCACTTGAGTGGAACCTAAATGGGAAGCATTCAGTTAGTCGTCAGTGCGAAGAGAAGATGAAAACATGTGGACAGACGTGGAGCCAGGTGAACACGTTGTCAGGGAAACGAACACAATGGAGACGTGCGGCTGAATTCTTTTTTTCCTCTGCCTTTGTGTGCACTATGTGGAGTGTGGCAACTTCAACAGTTGCTCCTCTGTACAAAGTTGTATATTGGAACTCAGTGAGTCGACCAGTCAGATGTTTCGCGTCGCATCGATGAATAAGATGAAAAAATGTTGTGCGTACAGTAATCTCCAGCCACACCTCATTACATGGGTCGGGGATTCGATCCCTGGCCAATGTACTTCAAAACCTCCGCTTAGCCAGCAAACAGTAAAGGTTGGTTAGGCGTGAGGTTAGTAAACCCTAATCTCGTGAAAAATAAATTTCACTGTTTCAGTGAAACTTCAAGCCTGATACCTGGAGTCCTATGTTCCAATGAGAATGCAAAGGATTAAAATAATTAAAAATAATAATAATAACGTTGAACAGATTAAGCATTGTGGATGATGAATTAAAAAGGTTAAGTGTGAGCTACGTGTGACATCGAAGCATTGCATAGCACTAAATCCATACAGTTTATGCGAAAAAAATCAAAACAATTCAATTGAGAACTTAAGAAACGTGTTTGACCTCAGTTAACTTTTTTTTATAACAAAAACGATCAAGAAAACATAAAGACGACCTGAGTTTATAAGTATATTACCACACTGTACATGGATTTAATTGAATAATCGACAAAACACAAGAAAGGAAGAGATATAATCAATAAGGAGGGGAAGAGTTACTCTACTACTACTACTACGACTAACGACAGTTATTATTATTGTTCCCCTGGGGTTTTCAGTGAAACATACGGCTTCAACAACACATCTTCACTTCGTTCTATTTTCTGCTGTCCTGTTCAACCGGGCCCACGATTGACCATAATCTCTCATCTCCCCCTCCACCTCATCGCCACACGATCTCCTCCATGTCACCCTCAAAACAATGCCAAACTCATCATCTCCCATTCAGATCGCATTCGAACGATGGCCTGCATTATGCGCGATGTCATTTGTCATTCCCCCCAAAGTCGTGTGTTCAATCCATCTCCATTTTCTCCTACATATTTGTTGAACATTTGGCCCTTTCTTAGTTTGTTCGCAGTGTTTCTTGTCGCTAATGCTTTTTCACCGGCTGGCCATTCAACCTTCAATATAGAGCCAGCGAATGCAGTTGCTGATAAAAGTCTGGTATGGCCTGTTCAAAATGTTCTTCGTGACTCATATAGAAGAACTAAATGACTGACTCAACTGACTTAACATTGATGTTGAAAATCCGAATCTTGTTCCTTATGTTCTTTCAGACTGATGAAGGCGTATCTTGCCTTTCCGATTCTGTCTGGCTGGCTTTGATATCTTCATTCGTTCAGCTAGTCTGTGGTTGAAACTGTGCTTCCCAACCAGATAAGTGAAGGAAGGAAGTAACCCCTGTCAAATCTCTCCCGTTGATAGTGATTGGTGCTGTTGTTAATGCTGTTGGTTCATTGCTTGGTTATCTTCATCACCTTCGTCTTCGCTACGTTCACCTGGAGTCTTGTCTCCAGTTAACTAACACCTATATCAAAAAAACCAATAATAGAAGGTTTAATTGTCATATTGATTCAAAAAAACCAAAACGAGTTGGCAGAAGAAGCAGTCAGATAAGACACAAGTGTTGAAGATTCCTCAACCAATCACCATCAATGGGAGAAATTTGAAGGAAGTTACTTCTTTCACTTATCTCGTCAGCATCATTTCAAGTAAACGCGCAGAACCACTGAGGATGTCGAAGCCAGTCAGGATCGAAGAAACAAGACACACCTTCCGTTATTCTGTGATCAATATGAAAATCTGTTGCGCTCAACACAAGGAAAACAAGATCAGAACTTTCGATAATGATGTCACTTCACCGCTTGTATATGTTTCAAAGACTTGCAGCGGCTTACGCCACAGAAGACATTTCCAACAAGGCTACTGAAAGCTTCCACAAACACTCACCTTCGCTGACTCGATACTAAAGATCGAATGACCATCTAGAATGGATAAGTAACACAAGGAACTCTGGCAACATATCGACCAGGAATCTATTCACCCCAACCCCACCTCACCCCAAGAAATATACGGAATGAGATGGAGATGGATCGAACACACACCAAAGAGACTATTGAGTTATCAGTCGGTTTTCGACATAGAACTTTGTACATATGTGCGGCAGTTCAAGTCGCCACACTCCACTTCATGTACCACACAAAACAAGAGAAGAAAGTAGAAGAAATGCATAATAGAGACAGTAAACAGAGGTGTGAGACAAAGGAATAGTAATAACGAAGAACAATACAGTTTCATTGGAAATCATAAGTCACATGGAGTGGATGCATCTGCGCCACTAAGAACGATTGTGAGCCATATCACCAATTGTTTCCAACCATTGGTTTTTACCGTCCCGAGGACCCCAACTAGTCCTACGTGGCTTAGACTAACTGTTGTAGATTTCATTGACTGGTGTCATGTTTTCGTTTGACCGCCGCTAGCACTTTTCCAGCCTGACCCAATATCAGCTAACATTGCCCGTCGAGGAAGGCGAGGACTAGACTGGGCATACGTAACACATGTCCTAAACATCTCAGTCGATGAAATTTCACAGCCTCGTCAACTGATTTCCCCTCCTTACCTAGCATTCGACCGATGCCTAAACTCAATATTGCTCACCTTATTATACCACTTCACGCGGGAGATAGAACGTAGACACCTATGATCAAAGACAGCTAATTTTTTCATGTCTTCCGCTCTCAATGGCCAGGTCTCACAGCCGGAAATAAAGGAGGACGGAGCGGACTGATGAGCAGTACACACGCCCTTTGGTTGATAGTCGGATATCACGTCTACCTAGCCAGAGACGGCGTAAACTGGCATATGAGAAACTAGCCCTCTGTATTCGTACTGCGATTTCGTCAAATTGAGTTATATCAGACGCCAGGAAATCCACTGGAATTCCAATGGGAAATAAAGAGTTGGGTGTGGGTCAGACGATGGCATGAAGTAAATCATGCGAAGAACAAAGTGAAATGAAGATGTGTTGCTGAAGCCCTATGTTCCACCTGGAATCCAAGGGAATAAAAATGTAAATTAAATCTTTTTTACAATTTTGATTATAGCTTGATTCCACACCGTATTATTGGTACAAGTATGGAATTTTACAACGAATTGATTTCAGTCAGAGAACCCCTGAAAATTAGCAGGGAATGCAGGACGGCTGTTTCTAAGTACGAAACTCTTCAGAATTACTCATCTATGATTCCACAGGAGATAGGACACAGGACCTTCAGATTACAAGACAAACTCGTTGACTACTCAGTCACTGGGTGAATGGAATCCAATGGCCACCGCATGAATTATAACTTCTGCCAATTCGCGATGTATATTTAGCACGATCATCAGCCAATGTTTTATCGGCGAGTATTTCTCTTCACATCCAACTTGGTCAACCCCACTGCTGGTGGTCATGAGTCCCTCTCCAGAACTTCTGGCAGCTTCATCCTTTAATGAGCACTAGAACAATGTCCAAGTGTTTCGTTTTGCAGGTTATGATAATAATAATTATTATTATATTATTTAACTCAACATAGTCCTAAAGGTCAGATTTAAAGGAGATAGAAATGTGATTTTCAAATGAATATGAAAATTTGCATGTGATGATATGAGATGAGTATTAATCACAAAGAGTACAAAATTCAAAATAATAGAGAATTACGAATTCGGTTGTGTAATATATATGCAAAATAGATTTTAAGAAAATAAGTGTAATCACGATATGCATACAAATAGACTGAAATAATAATATCTTATTTTATTTTCAACATCTATATGACAATGCCCGCCACGTGTCAGGTGATCCACAACGGAAAACTCAACAAGGCGTTCGAAGTGAATATATGAGAAAGATAAGGCTGCCTGCCTATTATCATCA